GAGAAGACCTGTTCCCTCCACAATAAATACAACATACTGAAAGAAGAAAATAAGAAAATACAACTATGAGTAAAAATGGAATTTAGGATGTGCATCTGTCTTGTTTTTTATTATTGTTTGCTTGTTTGTTTGTTTTTTCAATGTACATGTACTTCCTTAATGATAAAATCTTTTTATGTACATGTACCTCCTATGAAACAGACAGATCTATCAGGACGACAGTCTAGGCAAGTGTAACAAAATTTTGTGGTGACTGTCTCTTCTTTTATCTTCATCGGGATAACACAGATGGGAGAATTCAGACCTTGATTAAAACAATCTAACACATGCTTTTGCAAAACAAAATAAAGATAAAAAATCGAAAATAAATAATAATATTATAAATAATAATAATAATAATAATAATGAGAATAATGAGAAAGTAATATGTCAATAATGTTGTTATGGTAGTGATGTATTGGAACACTCACTATAAAATTAATACAATGATTTACCTGGAGTCAGTTGTCTGACTCTTGTTACAAAAGGGTTTCTCGCATTCATTTTTTCGTATTGTTTTTGCTCAAAGACGGTCTTAGTTTTAACAAGTACAGTCAGTGTAATCAGGATTATGATGACCGCTTGGGGTTAGATTTGAGACATGAAAGTTACAAGCCAGCAATTTGTTTAAACTAGTTAATTTTGATATCAGTTAACTCAGGAAATAAGTAAGTTTAGTCACCTAGTGTGACTGCAGCCAGTAATAATACATGTAATATCTAATAGCAACCTTTATGCTATAAAAGGCTAGGATATTAATTTTAGACCGAAAAGGACAATAGTATTTTTCATGACAACTATCTACAGCTTTAGTTTCGATATTAATGGTCTCAATTATGTATAATTTCTGTTTGTTCCAGAAAAAGCTAAAGAGACAACCCTTTTCCAGTCAACCTCTATTTGGAAGAGGGATTGTTGTAAGTTCAAAGCTTGTATAAATGTGGAGTACATGTCTTCAGAGCAAGGCAATACAGACAAATGAGATGACAAATTCGAGAAAAGTGCTTGCAGGAGGCCTCTAACATGGAGGAGTCAACAACTTAGCCTGTAAAAACCTATTTGCCAAGCTGAACAGTACGTAAAGCAAAATTAAAACAGTCACATGTAAGCCTGTCATTACTCAATGACAATAGAAAGGAGGAATGGCTTTTCCTCAGAGCAGGAGGCACCAGATAATGCTCCTGAATTTGCTTTGTGACAAGAAAATATAAGTTAATCCAAGGCTCTTAAAGAAATTCCAGATTATTTATGAGTGGTCATACTTACAGGTACATGTACTTGTAGCTCTGCAAATACAGTAATCCTTTAATCACCTTCTGTTTATGACACTGTTTTTTAGAAAAAGATAAATCTGTATAAACAGTACAAATCCTGATGGTGTTGATTTGTCCTGAGAATTCTGGCGGCAGGTACGTAGATCAAATTGGTTGATGTGATAAATTTTTCATTAGAATCCTTTGGCTATTGTTTGCAAGTAATGTACCAGTCAGCAGCTTAAAAAGGCCAATTAATGTACAAATGTTTCTTTTAAATCTATTTGCTTAACTGCAGGCTTTTGAGTTCTGCTGGCACCACTTCACAGTACATGTGTACCGATTACAGCAATTGCAACTGAGCATGACCTGCTTGAACAAAAAACAAAACAAATTTAGGTACACCCTGCGTTTTGTCATGATTTAGTATGGAATTTTGCAAAGGATTGCAACATGCTTCAAGAAAAGAGTAATGAGAGACAGCAGTGTAGTTATTTTACAGGCTAGCCAGATTAACCTTCTATATTACATGTGCATGTATACTGAGTTTAAAATAATTATTAGCTTCTTTCATTGGGACCAACTACAGTGACAATGGTAATGTTGACATGCTGTGGAATACTTACAGCTGGTCATTACTTTAATGACCCTCAATTTTATTAGAACAGGGCATTTATTTTATGTACTAGAAGCTCCGGCTGGTACTTCCTCGAAGAGCATATCCAATACTATACAAAAATCATTAGCAACAAAAGTCTGATCTGAATTTGAATAGCTACATGTACCTAAACTATTTCTTAGTTTGCTAAATGCTACAACCCAGTTGTTATACCAGCAAAAATTGTAAATTGGTAGCAAGAATTAGGCCTTTCATTCTAATACAGCCTAAAGAAAAAAGTGCCACCAGAATCAAATTTTGTTTAATCTGTAAATAGCAATAAATACAAAAATACTAATTATTTATTAAAATGGGTGTCTTGAGGGTTCCATTTAGTTGGAACAGGATTTTGTCCTTAGATACAAAAGTTTAAGTAAGAAATAGTCTTGTCATAAGTAAATATTGGTCCAAGGGTAAAAGGATTTTTAACCTGTTTCTGAGTTGCAAAAACCTAAAACTAAAAACTGAAATAGGTTTGAGGCAACTCTGAAACACCTACAGCTGTATGTAGAATATCTTACACATTTAGATGAAGAACACTTTTTTATAATATTAATAGTTAGTAATGCTCTGATGGAGCATAGATTGGAGACAAGTAAACATCAACAAACTGTAAAATAGGGAATTAATGTGAAGAGCTGTATGTACAGCTGTATACTGTAGTTTGTAAAGTACTTTGGTTTATTGAATAAATCATTTGAACATTAATGGGAGGTCACTGCTAGAATTTCTTTCAGTAACTTTAATATTTGAAGCTATAAACTTCAAGATTAATTATGGCCACTTGTTAAGAACCTGAAGTGAGGCATGTTATAAGTAAAAATAGTTTTAAAATTTTATCGCATTTGCTACAACCCAAGCAAACTCGTTTAAACCTTGGAATTTACATTTGCTACTTGAGAAAACATGCTCAATTTTATGGGTTTGATGACATTTGCTAACCAAATTAAAGTCAGAATTTGATTACATTTGCTACCTGAGCGAAAAATTGTACAATAGTAACAGTATGATCAGATTTGCTGCCCAAGCAACTTTGTTCAAAACTTGATTTTTGACCACATTTGCCGCTACAAGCAAAAATTTTGTGTTTGATCAAATTTGCACACCCTAGAAAATTTGTTCAAAGTTTAGGTTTGCTAACATTTGCTACGTGAGCAAACATGTTTAATACAAAGAGTTTGGTTACATTTGCTATGCAATGCAATCTGGTTCAATTATGAAAATTTGATCACCCACGATAACCCAAGCAAACATTGTTCAAATTAGTTACTTCGCTCACATTTGCAAAGCTGCGTAAACGTTCTGAAAATAACAGGTTTACATGCTTTTACATCTAAAGCAAAAGCTGTGCAAAACAGCAGATTTGCGCTATCATTTGCGTAATGTGCAAATATAGTTCAAAGAAACATATTTGCCTACACATTTGAACCATCTGCAAATGACCCTCAAATCCATGGCTGCCCATTATCTTTGCACCAAGATGTAAATGTTGTGCAAATGTGGCATTTACCGTCATTGCTACGGATAGCAAATCTAGTGCAATATCAGTCTTTGCTCTTGCGCAAACTTGTCCAAATGTGGTATTTGCTACACATTTGCTGTAATTTGGCTACCCTAGTAAATCCATTTTTTCGTCCAGTGATATCGTTTCCTCCAGCTCGCCAAGTTGACCTAGTGCCATACAAAGAGTTTTGCGTTTTTTTCTAGAGAAAGTTATTTTATAAAAGCAATAGAAAACTTTTTTCCTTTTTTCCTATCAGGCTATGCAAACACGGAAAACGTTTTCTATTGCTTACGTATTATATATTTATTTTTCTTTAAATCATTTTTCTACCTCAAAATAGTTTTGCCCCAAAAACAAGTTTTGTATCAAGAGAATGATATAAAACTGAAACTCAGTTGGATGAATTCCCTTATCCCACAACCTTTTCGAAATATGAATAAATCTATTTTCAAAATGTTTTTCACTATTTTCAGGTAAATCACTTGCTTCATATAAAAAGTCTACTATTCCAGGAAACTCTTCATTAAAAGCTGAATCATCTGTTTCTATAATTTTAACTTTTTCGTTAAGTCTATCAATCCGTTCTTCAACTCTATCAAGTATGGCATTAAAATTATCAACATTATCTCTTGTTAGAGAATAGTTTATTGTTGAGCACAAACTATTAGAAGGAGCTGGTGAATAAAGAAATTTAAGATTTCTGTCAATACTTTCAACAGTTTGATATTCTAATCTTGAAGAAAATATTTTAAGTTATTAATTTTATAATTGACATTAGTGTTGGTTACTGACTTAAATCCTATTTTATTATATGTTTTTTATTCTTTAAATTTTATTTTTTTCTAAATCATTCTTCTGACCAGAGTAAATTTACACTCCAGAAATTAGCCGATTCAGGATTAGTGAAAGTTAACTCTCCCTGTTTATTTTTAATCTTTTTAGCTCGAGCGAGATATCTCTCTTTTCGCTCTTTGTCTTTATGAATTAAAAAGTCTGGATATTGCGCTGACCCAAAATGAATTTTCTTTCCAATTGGAAGTGTTGCTACATATTTGTTATTTTTACGAGTTGAATAATCAAGAGATTCAGCACCAAGTTTTTTAGCTTTTTCGGTAAGTTTTTTAAACTCTTTACCAATTACAACATATTTGTTTTCTTCATCTGATGAGGAGAAATCTTTAGGCTCATATGTTGGGTCCTCATCATGATTATAACCATCTTCAACTATAAAATTTTTGTCTTCTTCTGTTGGAATATCAATCATGGATTCCATTTTTATTATTTAATTAGATTATTTTTGTTGGTAAATAAAAATATAGTAGTTATAAGAAGATGATTTCCACCTCTCTCTCACTGGTACTTTTTCCCGCCTTTTACGCTAGAGAAGTTACTAAATGCTGACTTACCGCTCTTTTTTGTACACCATTAAATGGAATTAAAAGAAAAATGTTAGAAAAGATTAGTTTTTTACTGCAGGGACGACCTGAGGCTCGACCGAAGGGAACCGATCGAAGGGAGGTTAGGACCTGCAGGAAATGACAAGCTT